GATGACACACAGCTGTACATTTCAATGAAGCATGGTGAAGCCCCAAAATTGCCCTCGCTAGAAGCCTGTGTTTCAGACATAAGGAAGTGGATGGCTGAAAACTTTTTACTTTTAAACTCGGACAAAACAGAGATGCTTGTTCTAGGTCCCAAGAAACAAAGAGATCTTCTGTTAAATCTGACAATTCATCTTGATGGTTGTAAAGTCGTCTCAAATAAAACTGTGAAGGACCTAGGCGTTACTCTTGACCCTGATCTCTCTTTTGACGAACATATCAAGACTGTTTCAAGGACAGCTTTTTTCCATCTACGTAACATTGCAAAAATCAGAAATTTTCTGTCCAGAAATGATGCAGAAAAATTAATCCATGCATTTGTTACTTCTAGGTTAGACTACTGCAATGCTCTATTTTCCGGCTACCCGGATAAAGCACTAAATAAACTTCAGTTAGTGCTAAATACGGCTGCTAGAATCCTGACTAGAACCAAGAAATTTGATCATATTACTCCAGTGCTAGCTTCCCTACACTGGCTTCCTGTTAAGGCAAGGGCTGATTTCAAGGTTTTACTGTTAACCTATAAAGCGTTACATGGGCTTGCTCCTACCTATCTTTCCGAGTTGGTCCTGCCGTACATACCAATACGTACGCTACGGTCACAAGACGCAGGCCTCCTAATTGTCCCTAGAATTTCTAAGCAAACAGCGGGAGGCAGGGCTTTCTTCTATAGATCTCCATTTTTATGGAACAGTCTGCCTACCCATGTGAGAGACGCAGACTCGGTCTCAACCTTTAAGTCTTTACTGAAGACTTATCTCTTCAGTAGGTCATATGATTGAGTGTAGTCTGGCCCAGGAGTGTGAAGGTGAACGGAAAGGCTGGAGCAACGAACAGCCCTTGCTGTCTCTGCCAGGCCGGTTCCCCTCTCCACTGGGGTTCTCTGCCTCTAACCCTGTTGCAGGGGCTGAGTCACTGGCTTGCTGGTGCTCTTTCATGCCGTCCCTGGGAGGGGTGCGTCACTTGAGTGGGTTGAGTTACTGACGTGATCTTCCTGTCTGGGTTGGCGCCCCCCCCTTGGTTTGTGCTGTGGTGGAGACCTCTGTGGGCTATACTCGGCCTTGTCTCAGGATTGTAAGTTGGTGGTTGGGGATATCCCTCTAGTGGTGCGGGGGCTGTGCTTTGGCGGAGTGGGTGGGGTTATATCCTTCCTGTTTGGCCCTGTCCGGGGGTTTCTTCGGATGGGGCCACAGTGTCTCCGGACCGCTCCTGTCTCAGCCTCCAGTATTTATGCTGCAGTAGTTTATGTGTCGGGGGGCTGGGGTTAGTTGGTTATACCTGGAGTACTTCTCCTGTCTTATCCAGTGTCCTGTGTGAATTTAAGTATGCTCTCTCTAATTCTCTCGTTCTCTCTTTCTCTCTGAGAACCTGAGCCCTAGGACCATACGTCAGGACTACCGGGCATGATGACACCTTGCTGTCCCCAGTCCGCCTGGCCTTGCTGCTATTCCAGTTTCAACTGTTCTGCCTGCGGCTACGAAACCCCTACCTGTCCCAGACCTGCTGTTTTCAACTCTAAATGATCGGCTATGAAAAGCCAACTGAGAGACCTGAGCCCTAGGACCATACGTCGGGACTACCGGCCATGGTGACTCCTTGCTGTCCCCAGTCCGCCTGGCCTTGCTGCTATTCCAGTTTAAACTGTTCTGCCTGCGGTTATGGAACCCCTACCTGTCCCAGACCTGCTGTTTTAAACTCTAATGATCGGCTATGAAAAGCCAACTGAGATTTATTCCTGATTATTATTTGACCATGCTTGTCACTTATGAACATTTTTGAACATCTTGGCATGGTTCTGTTATAATCTCCACCCGGCACAGCCAGAAGAGGACTGGCCACCCCTCATAGCCTGGTTCCTCTCTAGGTTTCTTCCTAGGTTTTGCCTTTCTAGGGAGTTTTTCCTAGCCACCGTGCTTCTACACCTGCATTACTAGCTGTTTGGGGTTTTAGGCTGGGTTTCTGTACAGCACTTCGAGATATTAGCTGATGTAAGAAGGGCTATATAAAATAAAATTGATTGATTGATTGACTGTATATATAGCCTCCCTACTGTTATTTTATTTTACTTCTGTTCTTTTTTTCTCAACACTTTTTTTGTCGTTGTTTTATTTGACTTTTTTATAAAAAATAAATGCACTGTTGGTTAAGGGCTGTAAATAAGCATTTCACTGTAATGTCTGCACCTGTTGTATTCGGGACATGTGGCCAATAACATTTGATTTGATTTGCTTATTTTTTTCTTTAAGCAATGGCTTTTTTCTGGCCACTCTTCCGTAAAGCCCAACTCTGTGGAGTGTATGGCTTAAAGTGGTCCTATGGACAGATACTCCAATCGCCGCTGTGGAGCTTTGCAACTCCTTCAGTGTTATCTTTGGTCTCTTTGTTGCCTCTCTGATTAATGCCCTCCTTGCCTGGTCCGTGAGTTTTGGTGGGCTGCCCTCTCTTGGCAGGTTTGTTGTGGTGCCATATTCTTAAACATTTTTAATATTGGATTTAATGGTGCTCCGTGGGATGTTCAAAGTTTCTGATATTTTTTTATCTGTACTTCTCCACAACTTTGTCCATGACCTGTTTGGAGAGCTCCTTGGTCTTCATGGTGCCGCTTGCTTGGTGGTGCCCCTTGCTTAGTGGTGTTGCAGACTCTGGGGCCTTTCAGAACAGGTGTACAGTGAGGGAAAAAAGTATTTGATCCCCTGCTGATTTTGTACGTTTGCCCACTGAAAAAGACATGATCAGTCTATAATTTTAATGGTAGGTTTATTTGAACAGTGAGAGACAGAATAACAACAAAAAAGTCCATTTTAATGAGGGAAATAAGTATTTGACCCCCTCTCAATCAGAAAGATTTCTGGCTCCCAGGTTCTTTTATACAGGTAACGAGCTGAGATTAGGAGCACACTCTTAAAGGGAGTGCTCTTAATCTCAGCTTGTTACCTGTATAAAAAGACACCTGTCCACAGAAGCAATCAATCAATCAGATTCCAAACTCTCCACCATGGCCAAGACCAAAGAGCTCTCCAAGGATGTCAGGGACAAGATTGTAGACCTACACAAGGCTGGAATGGGCTACAAGACCATCGCCAAGCAGCTTGGTGAGAAGGTGACAACAGTTGGTGCGATTATTCGCAAATGGAAGAAACAAAATAACTGTCAGTCTCCCTCTGCCTGGGGCTCCATGCAAGTCCTCACCTCGTGGAGTTGCAATGATCCTGAGAACGGTGAGGAATCAGCCCAGAACTACACGGGAGGATCTTGTCAATGATCTCAAGGCAGCTGGGACCATAGTCACCAAGAAAACAATTGGTAACACACTACGCCGTGAAGGACTGAAATCCTGCAGCGCCCACAAGGTCCCCCTGCTCAAGAAAGCACATATACAGGCCCGTCTGAAGTTTGCCAATGAACATCTGAATGATTCAGCGGAGAACTGGGTGAAAGTGTTGTGGTCAGATGAGACCAAAATCGAGCTCTTTGGCATCAACTCAACTCGCCGTGTTTGGAGGAGGAGGAATGCTGGCTATGACCCCAAGAACACCATCCCCACCGTCAAACATGTAGGTGGAAACATTATGCTTTGGGGGTGGTTTTCTGCTAAGGAGACAGGACAACTTCACCGCATCAAAGGGATGATGGACGGGGCCATGTATCGTCAAATCTTGGGTGAGAACCTCCTTCCCTCAGCCAGGGCATTGAAAATGGGTATTCCAGCATGCCAATGACCCAAAACACACGGCCAAGGCAACAAAGGAGTGGCTCAAGAAGAAGCACATTAAGGTCCTGGAGTGGCCTAGCCAGTCTCCAGACCTTAATCCCATAGTAAATCTGTGGACGGAGCTGAAGGTTCGAGTTGCCAAACGTCAGCCTCGAAACCTTAATGACTTGAAGAAGATCTGCAAAGAGGAGTGGGACAAAAATCCCTCCTGAGAAGTGTGAAAACCTGGTGGCCAACTACAAGAAACGTCTGACCTCTGTGATTGCCAACAAGGGTTTTGCCACCAAGTACTAAGTCATGTTTTGCAGAGGGGTCAAATACTTATTTCCCTCATTAAAATGAAAATCAATTTATAACATTTTTGACATGCGTTTTTCTGGATTTTTTTGTTTGTTATTCTGTCTCTCACTGTTCAAATAAACCTACCATTGAAATTATAGACTGCTCATGTCTTTGTCAGTGGGCAAACGTACAAAATCTGCAGGGGATCAAATACTTTTTCCCCCTCACTGTATATATACACTGAGATCATGTGACACTTAAAGTCCACCTGTGTGCAATCTAACTAATTATGTGACTTCTGAAGGTAATTGGTTGCACCAGATCTTATTTAGGGGCTTCATAGCAAAGGGGGTGAATACATATGCACGCACCCCTTTTCCGTTATTTATTTTTTAGAATCTTTTGAAACAAGTAATTTTTTCACTTCACCATTTTGGACTATTTTGTGTATGTCCATTACATGAAATCCAAATAAAAATCCATTTAAATTACAGGTTGTAATGCAACAAAATAGGAAAAACGCCAAGGGGGATGAATACTTTTGCAAGGCACTGTATGTACTCCACAGTCTCCATTAATATTTTCACCCTGGAAAATACTATAACCAGCTTCATCTTTTGGCTTCAATGCTGTCTGTTTTCTCAGTATTGTTTCACTACAGAGCCTTTTGTATTTCTATACTCTTATTTGAAAATGTATGTAGTTCTGTCCTTGAGCTGTTCTGGTCTATTATTGTTCTGTATTATGTCATGTTTTATGTTCTGTGTGGACCCCAGGAAGAGTAGCTGCTGCTTTTGCAAAAGCTAATAGGGATCCTAATAAAATAAATAACAATCATTGTGTAAACGTTTATTGTAGTTCTCTCTATGAATGTCTGCTTGGGTAACCGCATTCAGACCCAGATCATATGTTAACGTGATTATTTATGCTGTTTGTTTGTCTTCACTCAGGAACCTGAGTTGCCAAAGGATCACGCTTCATAAGAACCTCTTCGTTTCGTATGTCCTCAACTCCGCCCTTACCCTCATCTACCTCATAGCAGTGGTCAACAACACAGATGTAGTGGAGAGAAATCCAGTAAGTCTCACACATTTCATCTATAAAATGAAAACAATTTTAAGGGGAAGAGGAAAGATAAGTCTCAGGGTTTCACTGCATGACAATTTCAAAATAAATATATATTTTTTTTAATTCTTAAAAACGTAACACAGCCCTCGAGCACCTTTTTACTTAATTCAAATGAGTTTACTCTTAGTTTCATTCAACTGGATTGCAGATGTTTTTTCTAAGAGGGTTCGTTAGGATATTAGTATTTTTTTGCATATCTTTAATGGGTTGTGCCATTAACAGACAGCCCACGGTTAACCTTCTCTTAGCACTCAGATTTCTGTCCTCTGTCAGACTTTTGAACAGTTGCCACTCGTTGAGTTTGAGTCAGACTTGAATTCTTTGAAACCTGAGGCCTGTTAAGGTGAAAAGGGTCCATCTGCCTCTATGGAACGTAGCGTTGCTGTATCTAGGATTACCCCTTTTCTGGTGCTTTAAGTATTGTATTTTAAGATACTTTTTATTGTCCACCTTTTTGAGGAAATTATTTGATTACGGTATTGTGACTCAGGAAGACAGCGTTACTGAGTCGCCGGCTTCTGTTCCCAAAAAAATACAAAATAAAAAGATCTTCTTGATCCAGAGAAATGGCCACACTTGGGTGACCTTTGAGTAGAGACATGAGTTTTTCCTGGTTAGGTCACATGGTTAGTAAAAACTCCTGGCTCAATGTATACAGTAAGGTCATGTTATCATTCTCTCGATTGGATCATCACTTAATTTTTTTATTTAACTAGGCAAGTCAGTTAAGAACAAATTCTTATTTACAATGACGGCCTACCGCGGCCAAATCCTCCCCTAACCCAGACAACGCTTGGCCAATTGTGCGCCGGCCTATGGGACTCCCAATCACGGCCGGTTGTGATACAGCCCGGGATCGAACCCGGGTCTGTAGTGACACCTCTAGCACTGCGATGCAGTGCCTTAGACTGCTGTGCCACTCAGGATCCCCAGGATCTCACTCAGGATCCCCAGGATCTCACTCAGGATCCCCAGGATCTCACTCAGGATCCCCAGGATCTCACTCAGGATCCCCAGGATCTCAGGATGTCCTTCAGTTTATCCAGTCAAAGAAAATAACTACCGTCTGGGTTTGATTTCTAGCCTCTCTTCTACTCTTCTCCCCGTACAATCATGTTCTCACTGGAAAAAACAGACTTCAAGCCTAATCCATCTGCCATATTCACAGTGGAAGGGTTTTTGTTTCCTCAGATATACCAGCTGACCCTGGTGATCCAACCGACAGGGAGGAAGGAATGACAGCTTTCACAATAAATATTGTGGGAACGTAATTGGAAAACGTTTAATTTGATAACAAATGCTGTGGCTCTGGTATATAAAGCGCAGGGGTTGCTGGAATATCTCCTCAGTTTAGAGTCTGGTGCAATAGCAGGTGCCAGCTCTCTGCTCATATGATTTTTCATTATATATATATATATATATATATATATATATGTCCACTGAAGATGTTTGGTTGCTCTGATTAAACCTTGAGTTATATCTGAAGTCGTAGTGTCCATGGATTATCATTCTTTAACCCAACCTTACAATATGAATAGCTATGTTCTAGCAGCATTGGCTCAGAACCATCTTTCCCAATCTGTCCTAAATATATTATAATCTAATTGTTTTGAGAAGCGGGAGAACCAAATTGCAGTTTGTCTTTCACACCTCAGACAACATGGTCTTGATTTCAAGGGGTTAAAATCCCATCACTGTTGGTTGCACATACTGCATGTCTTTAGTGGAACATGTTGACATTCTGGAGCGCCAAATTTAGAGTGGATCAGTCTGTGTTCTGACTGCATGTGTGATTTAGGGATGTGGTACTCTGTTGGGAGAATGGACTCTGCGCTCTCTGAACAAAAAGGAACAAGCGTTCTTTCTCTCTGGCGGATCACAGTAGAGACTCCTAGTCTGCCAGTAGTGAGAGAGAAGTGGGTCCCTAGTGCTCTGGTCAAACGAAGGACTAGGCCAAAGACATGAGACACACACTTTGTCAGACATTAGTACCTTAAACTTTGTTCCAGAAAACATTCAGAACCATCCAGACTGTCCCGTTACATTAGGCTGGATGCCTCAGTTGGGCATTCAAGTTGAAGTTGAATGTGGTTATGAAGTGGTGAGAAAAATGAAGTGTTTTGATCACACCAACAGACCTTAGTGATGAGTAAACTGTATTTCAGCATACATGTAAATGGCACATCTGGGCCAGGAGTCATGAAGGGCAGGGTGGGAGGAGGGAAGAGGAAGGAGGGTGGAGGGAAGAGGAAGGAGAAGGAGAGGAATAGCAGGAGGTGGAAGAAGGTAGGAAAGAGAAGGAGGAGGGTAGAGGAGGAGGAGGGTAGAGGAGGAGAGGGGAGGAGGGGGGTAGAGGAGGAGGAGGGTAGAGGAGGAGGAGGGTAGAGGAGGAGGAGGGTAGAGGAGGAGGAGGGAAAGAGAGAGAGAGGAGGAGGAGACATACAGTGCATTCGGAAAGTATTCAGACCCCTTCACTTTTTCCACATTTTGTTACGTTACAGCCTTGTTCTAAAATGGATTAAATACAAATGTTTCCTCATCAATCTACACACAATACCCCATAATGACAAAGTGAAAGTAGGTTTGTAGAAACAGGTTTGTAGAAACTTATTTACTTAAGTATTCAGACCCTTTACTCAGTACTTTGTTGAAGCACCTTTGGCAGCGATTACAGACTTGAGTCTTCTTGGGTATGATGCTACAAGCTTGGCACACCTGTATTTGGGGAGGTTCTCCCATTCTTCTGTGTAGATCCTCTCAAGCTCTGTCAGGTTGGATGGAGAGCGTCGCTGCACAGCTATTTTCACGTCTCTCCAGAGATATTCGATTGGGTTCAAGTCCGGGCTCTAGCTGGGCCACTCAAGGACATTCAGAGACTTGTCCTGAAGCCACTCCTGCGTTGTCTTGGATGTGCTTAGGATTGTTGTCCTGTTGGAAGGTGAACCTTCACCCCAGTCTGAGGTCCTGAGCGCTCTGGAGCAAAGAATTTCTGCAGCATTGAAGGTCCCCAAGAACACAGTGGCCACTGTGTGGTTAAGAGTTTGTGAGTGACTGACAGGTTCTGAAGGCTGTGAATGCTGCATATAGAGTCTAGAAGAGATGTACATTTAGCTACTACCAATGCCAGTATCTTCTAATTAGATCAGCACACATGCTCTGAGACAGAGAGCTGAGAACAAGGAATCTCAACATGGAAAACTAGAGAACGAGCCTCAATGAATCTGCATGGGCCAGTCCCAAATGGAACCCTATTCCCTAGAGACAGGTTGGTTGTTTAGCAACACAACCGATGCGTGTGCAACTATGGGGCAAAACAGACGGGTTGGCTTAGATTGCTGACAACATGTAAACTATATTTTGTTTCCAATGTTTATTGAAAACATAAATACATTTGCACAATGAGCACTTGTTGTCTCAAATACATCGTTACAGTTGTTGGGTTAGCTAGCTAGCAAATTTGAGCCATATTAGCATTGATCAGTCAAAACACCTCAAAACAAGACGTTATCAAGAACAAGATGAAACTAGCTGAAACGAGTCACTTACGATTCCCCATATGGCAGTTTCTTGTCATTGTTGGTAGCTATCTGGCCATCTAGAATCACAACAACTCACAGACTTCTGCTGCATTGAAGCGTGCGCATCGTTTTCGTGATGTTGTCAGCTAACCCATCTATATAGTGCACTCCTTTTGACCAAGGCCCATATGTAGGCAATAGGGTGCCATTTGGGATATATAAATATGAAGGGAGTAAGAGACATATGATAGCGTGTTGACTGACAAGAATGTGTGGATATTATTGAACAGAATTTAGGCTACTTAACAGTCAATTTTTCTTGCAAAGTAAATACAACGAGCTGCAGTCATTAACATAGAGAAATGTGGAGCAAGGGATGCGCTTCAGCAGTAGGGGGTAACAGGATAAACAACCTCCTTTCGGAAAATCATAATACCCGCTAACGATTTTGTGTCAGGGCTGGTTGAGCATTTAGTGTTGTTGTTGTTGTTGTTGTTGTTATTGTCTCTGTGTGACTCCCTGTGATCCTAATCCCCTGCAGGTTGGCTGTAAGGTGTTGCACTTCTTCCACATGTACATGCTGGGCTGTAACTACTTCTGGATGCTGTGTGAGGGGATCTACCTGCACACGCTCATTGTGGTGGCTGTGTTCGCCGAGGAACAGCACCTCCACTGGTACTACCTCCTCGGCTGGGGTGAGTCTCACTACAGATCAGGGGTCAGATTACCTTAAAGGGATAGTGTGAGATTTGGGCAATTAAGGCATTTATCTACTTATGCTAGCTGTTCCGGTAGACTTCCAGTCATTGTGCTAACGCTAGTTAGCGTTGGGTCACGAAACGACCTCTAACTTCCTTCATACTGGACGCAGAGACATACAAATGTTATCCACAAGTTCATCTGACTCTGGGTAAGTAGAAACATCTCTCACTATCCCTTTAAACCAAAAACCAAACTCTAAATTGTATTTCTGTATTAGTTATAGCCAGCAATAAAAGCAATGTAAAAGGTTAATAGTTAATAGCAGAGAGGAATAGGCAAAGCGAGAGGGTCCATTCCCGTCAAAATCTGTCCATGCGGGAATACAGCGATAAGCAAAGCGATTAGCAGACCTTCTGCCTTCCCGCTTTGGGAACAACGACTCCCATTGTTAGCACGGAGATAAGACCATCTCATCATTATATACAGTATCTCTGTTAATAGTCAATTCAATAGTCCAGAGTTCAAAGGTCACAAAACCCAAATGTGAGTTAGTCCAACAAGTACACAGATCCCAAACATAGTTCAATTCAGTTCTTTCCACAAAAAGATAAATGATAGTCCAATAAGAGTCAATCAACATAGGAAAAAACTATCTGATAAACTCACCAGTCCTTGGTGATGATAGGAAGTAATTCCCTTTCTCCAAGCATATAATCCAAAGGAACAGGTTTCTACAGCACAATTACTCAACTATTTCCTCGTTTCTCACACCAAAACCATTACTCTATCCCTTTTCTACTCACATGACCTGATGACCCCATATTTAAAGTGACAGGTATCATTTTTACCAATCAACAGAAATTCTACCCGGTGGCATACAAATCTTGGCATGGATCTATACATGTACACATTCCATGTATTCTGTTTTACCTAGGAATTAATGTATAACCTTTCATTCAGTTTCATTTCATTTAACATTTCAACCACAGATCTAGGATCAGCCTAACCAAGCCTAAACTAACAATAGGCATGAGAAAATATCTGACCCTGTATCAGTGACCCTATCTGCTTTCATGAAAACAAGCCACCAAAACAGCATTCTCACACAATAATGAAATGATTCACTTGATGGTCAGTCATGATAGCCAGTGATAATTATTCCCTTTGGTAAAGCTTTATTTTAAATGTGAACACGTTACATTATATTTATTATGCAGTTGTTTAGCTAAAATTGTTTTATTTAACGTACAAACCAGATGTTGTCCTCGCTGGAATTGAACCCATAACTTTGACAGCACAACTTGCCCCAGTTAACTTTCCCCAGTCAACTTGCCCCAGTCAACTTGCCCCAGTCAACTTTCCCCAGTCAACATGCCCCAGTCAACTTGCCCCAGTCAACTTTTCCCCAGTCAACTTTCCCCAGTCAACTTTCCCCAGTCAACTTTCCCCAGTCAACTTTCCCCAGTCAACTTTTCACCAGTCAACTTTCCCCAGTCAACTTTCCCCAGTCAACTTGCCCCAGTCAACTTGCCCCAGTCAACTTTCCCCAGTCAACTTGCCCATCTGTTTTTGGGTCATGCATTTTATTACCTCTGTACTCTATTCTGTTTTATTGTCATATTTAGATACCAAAATAATGACATCTGAGGTAACATGATACAGCAACAAGTCTGTATAGCAGCTTGTTGCATGTTATAGTGTGTTCAAAACCATAGACTCATCTCCTCTCAGCCTTGGAGACCTCTGTGCTCTTACATCATGATTCATAGCCTATCTTCGTATTTCATCACCCTGTACTCACTGTAGACATAAAATAACATCGTAAACAGCTCCCACCATCGCTGAACCACACATAGATCCGCTTGTGTGTCACACAACAGGACGGGACACAATCTGTGTCGGGACACAGGATCAGAGACAACCCTGAGGTCACTGTTAACTGCAACACTCCCTGTGTGTCAACCCCGCCAAACCCTGCATCAGATTGACAGCTTTATTAGCTCTTCCTATTGGATAGCTGCTGTTAACGTGCTGTCTGTTCTGTTTAAAGGAGGAGTGATGTGTTATATTATCAGCCCTGGCCGTCCGATAAGTGGTACGATAACTGTGAATGGTCGGCCATTATTAAAGATGCCGTGATATAACCTTGGGGCAGAAGCTACAGTGTCTTTCACACAGCTGCCCGAGAGATGGAGGGATGGATGGAGGATATCCAGCTAGTCCATATGTAGCCAATATGGCCGTAGGACCTTGATACATGACTTCTAAACGGACCCGCTGCTCGGATTCATTTGTTTCATCTGTTTATGGCCCAGCTAAGATGAAAACCCCAATAAACACTGGTATGGTTGTGTTGTTAATGGAGAATGATTTAACGAGACTGGATTATTAGAGGAAATTGCTCAGTGTGGGTTTGTTCTTGTTCAGCTTGTAGCGGACAACATGATGAGGATGTATGATCTTAATTTGATCACTTTTGTTGCTGAGTATTTTCCTGCACCACAGGAAATGCAGATGAGCTTCGTGATTTACATAAATCCACTGAAAACCCACACTAACACACGGTTATATTACTGTAACAGTATTGTACTTTTCATGTAGCCTACTGTTGGCCAGCTAATAGCCTAACCACCGATCGATTATTTTTCTGTGACTATATAGGTCAAATTAAGATCCTACACCTGTAGGATGCTATAAGCTTGTTTTGAATTTAGGAAGGGCTTCCATTGGCTGTCTGTTCTGCCATGTATCTTCACCTTAAAGGATTTTTAAATGCTTAACAGCCTTAAAGGGATCTCTTTACAGTGTCTGTCTTTTCGTTTCCAGGGTTTCCCTTAGTGCCTGCATCCATCCACGCCGTGGCGAGGAAGAAGTATTTTGATGACAAGTGAGTAATGGTCCTCTGCAGTAGTATTGTAAATAAGTAGAGCAGCTGTGTGGTCGGCTGCAGGAGACAGTTCTAGAAGGAGAAGAAGAATACTTTATTGTCCGTTTGTAGACTTGTGTGACGGAGGATGTTTCTCCTTCCTGTAGCTGCTGGATGAGTGTGGAGACCCATCTGCTCTACGTGGTCCACGGTCCCATCATGGCAGCACTGCTCGTAAGCCACACCCTACACTCTTAGAAAAAAAAGGTGCTGTCTAGAACCTTAAAGGGTTCTTCGGCTGTCCCCATAGCAGAATCCTTTGAATAACTATTATTGGTTGCAGGTAGAACCATTTTGGTTCCAGGTAGAACCCTTTCTACAGAGGGTTCTACATGGAACCCAAAAGGGTTCTACCTGGAACCCAAAAGGTTTCTACCTGGAACCAAAAAGGGTTCTCCTATGGGACAGAAGAACCCTTTTGGAACCGTTTTTTCTAAGAGTGTACTCAACTACAATGCCTAAAGTGGACACTCAGTGAGTTGGGCAACTTCATTGTACTGTACATCATGTACTATAGATTGAAGGTGCCTAACTGGCAACATGGATACATAATGATACATGGATTTTCTTCTAGATCAAAACTTAATACGTAGGTAGCCATTATTGGACCTATAATCATGTATTGTTATACTGTTGAATGTGAAACACTTATGCTGGTGTTTAGACTTCCATTGTTCAGACAATATCATTTTAATCAGATTAGATTGTAGCCCTTTCAGACACCGCAACCATTTTCAGCCATTTATAAAATCACTTCTTTCTCCTTTTTCCCAGGTGAATCTGTTCTTCTTGCTGAACATCGTGAGGGTGCTGGTTACCAAGCTGAGGGACACCCACCGGGCAGAGTCTAACATGTACATGAAGGCAGTGAGAGCTACCCTGATCCTGGTCCCTCTCCTGGGCATCCAGTTTGTCATCTTCCCCTGGAGGCCAGAGAACCGTCTGGCGGGGGAGGTTTACGACTACATCATGCATATATTAATGCATTACCAGGTAATCTCTATGACTACATCATGCTTATATTAATGCATTACCAGGTAATGACACTGATCTCTATGACTACATCATGCATATATTAATGCATTACCAGGTCATATCTATATTAATGTATTACCAGATAATGACTATATTAATGCATTACCAGGTAATGACTACATCATGCATATATTAATGCATTACCAGGTATGTAATGCAATTGATCGTATGCCAGCAGCACAGTCCTTGCCAAAGCTCTGATCTGACATAAGGTACACTCTTAGAAAAAAGGGTTCCAAAAGGGTTCTTCAACTGTTCCCATAAAATAACCCTTTTTGGTTCCAGGTAGAACCATTTTTGGTTCCAGGTAGAACTATTTTGGGTTCCATGTAGAACCCTCTGTGTAAAGGGTTCTACATGGAACTCAAGAGGGTTCTACCTGGAAACAAAATGGTTCTACCTGCAACCAAAAATAGTTCTTCAAAGGGTTCTCCTATGGGGACAGCCGGAGAACCCTTTTAGGCTCTAGATGGCACCTTTTTTTCTAAGAATGTAGGATTAGTGAGAGTGTCTGATGTTTGTTTTGTTTTCCTACAGGGATTACTAGTGGCAACGATATTCTGCTTTTTCAATGGCGAGGTAAGCAATACTGTACTAGCACAACGCACAACACAAAGGATTTTTTTCTTCACTCTGTGGAAATCAGCAACTTCCCATTCAGTTTTATTCTTAGATAAAACATTTGTTGAGGTACAGTAGACAGTATACAGTAACAGTTTAAGCTTGAACGTCTGAAGAACCCTTACCCTTGGTAAAGTACAGTTTTAATTGAACCTCTGAAGAACCCTTACCCTTTGGCAAAGTACAGTTTTAATTGAACCTCTGAAGAACCCTTACCCTTTGGTATAGTACAGTTTAATTGAACCTCTGAAGAACCTTTACCCTTTGGTATAGTACAGTTTTAATTGAACCTCTGAAGAACCCTTACCCTTTGGTAAAGTACAGTTTTAATTGAACCTCTGAAGAACCCTTACCCTTTGGTAAAGTACAATTTTAATTGAACCTCTGAAGAACCCTTACCCTTTGGTAAAGTACAGTTTTAATTGAACCTCTGAAGAACCCTTACCCTTTGGTATAGTACAGTTTTAATTGAACCTCTGAAGAACCCTTACCCTTTGGTAAAGTACAGTTTTAATTGAACCTCTGAAGAACCCTTACCCTTTGGTATAGTAGAGTTTTAATTGAACCTCTGAAGAACTCTTACCCTTTGGTAAAGTACAATTTTAATTGAACCTCTGAAGAACCCTTACCCTTTGGTAAAGTACAGGTTTAATTGAACCTCTGAAGAACCCTTACCCTTTGGTATAGTACAGTTTTAATTGAACCTCTGAAGAACCCTTACCCTTTGGTAAAGTACAGTTTTAATTGAACCTCTGAAGAACCCTTACCATTTGGTAAAGTACAGTTTTAATTGAACCTCTGAAGAACCCTTACACTTTGGTAAAGTACAGTTTTAATTGAACCTCTGAAGAACCCTTACCCTTTGGTATAGTACAGTTTTAATTGAACCTCTGAAGAACCCTTACCCTTTGGTATGGTACAGTTTAATTGAACCTCTGAAGAACCCTTACCCTTTGGTATAGTACAGTTTTAATTGAACCTCTGAAGAACCCTTACCCTTTGGTAAAGTACAGTTTTAATTGAACCTCTGAAGAACCCTTACCCTTTGGTAAAGTACAATTTTAATTGAACCTCTGAAGAACCCTTACCCTTTGGTAAAGTACAGTTTTAATTGAACCTCTGAAGAACCCTTACCCTTTGGTATAGTACAGTTTTAATTGAACCTCTGAAGAACCCTTACCCTTTGGTAAAGTACAGTTTTAATTGAACCTCTGAAGAACCCTTACCCTTTGGTATAGTAGAGTTTTAATTGAACCTCTGAAGAACTCTTACCCTTTGGTAAAGTACAATTTTAATTGAACCTCTGAAGAACCCTTACCCTTTGGTAAAGTACAGGTTTAATTGAACCTCTGAAGAACCCTTACCCTTTGGTATAGTACAGTTTTAATTGAACCTCTGAAGAACCCTTACCCTTTGGTAAAGTACAGTTTTAATTGAACCTCTGAAGAACCCTTACCATTTGGTAAAGTACAGTTTTAATTGAACCTCTGAAGAACCCTTACACTTTGGTAAAGTACAGTTTTAATTGAACCTCTGAAGAACCCTTACCCTTTGGTATAGTACAGTTTTAATTGAACCTCTGAAGAACCCTTACCCTTTGGTATGGTACAGTTTAATTGAACCTCTGAAGAACCCTTACCCTTTGGTATAGTACAGTTTTAATTGAACCTCTGAAGAACCCTTACCCTTTGGTAAAGTACAGTTTTAATTGAACCTCTGAAGAACCCTTACACTTTGGTAAAGTACAGTTTTAATTGGCCATGTTGAGGGGATGACAAGTCAGACCCCAATGAAACAGCTCATCGCTGCCTGGTGGCGTTTCACCTGACAGGACTCGTCTGTCCCGTCACGCACACCATTTCACCGAGCGTTTCCAGGTCAACAGGCAGCCATCTTCTGCACCTGATAACACATTGATGAGTGGCCCATGGTGATAGAGTTGTCACCAATGGGTGGGAGGGAGGGAGCATTACTGTTTAGCGCTGGATCTATGGACTCAGCTGACTCCTGTACAGTAGCAGAGACAACAGCACTAGGACCATCTCAGATGAAGAGGAAGGAAGACAAGCCTTAGAAATGCCTCAGACACTTGAACCTCTCGGGCGAATCATCCACCCTGTCTGTCTGTCGCTCACTCACCTCAACCTGCAGTTGTTTGCTGTCTGACAGTGGATGTCCATAATCTAGAGTCACCGGCACAAACTCAAACCTTTGCATTATTAAAGGACATTGCTGGGGTTTTTTTTTTGGAAGAGACCATTCAGACTTGTTTTTAGGTCATATAGTAGATGCTGTCATCCAGAACGACCAGGGGTTTGAACCTAGGCCCACCCACCCAGTCAGTTAATAACATCGGTTGAGAAAATGCATTTGATAGGTCAGGAGTTGCATCAGATACTGCTTGGCCAGTCAGAGACCAGACCAGAAGAAAGAGGCACTGAGCATTTTCTTCGCTTGAGAAAGTAGAAAACAAAAACAATGCACACACCCAGAAGAACAGAGAGACCTTATTTGAATACACAGCAGGAGGTGGTATTTGGCACTGACAAAAACACAGCGAATGAACACAGCATTCGTTCATCATCAGGCGCAGTGTTTAGTAATATTTTATACATAGGAAATTATTTCTGGGCCGGGAAAACAGGTCAATTATTAGCTCATGCATGAGCAACCAGGCCCCATCGGCATCTCCATCGGCCCCCGTAAACCAAGTTTGACGTGTCCGAAGAACAGATTCAGTGTCAGGGGGATAAAAGACACTTTGACACAGTAAGGGAATGTTTGTTTGCTTTGCAGCATAATGGCTTTTACTGTCTCCTAATTTGGGACATTCGTTTTTGGGGATGAGTTCATTGCACAATTTGATTCTGGGGCCAAACTGCCTAGACCTAGGATGCGTCCCAAATGACACACTATTCCATACATTCTCTATGGGCACCCTTTTCCCTAAGGGCCCTGGTCAAAAGTAGTGCAATATAAAGGGAATAGTGCGTCATTTGGGACTCAGACCTAGCTACACAGTCTGCTGAATACGTTTTTGTCAAGTTACGCCAATGGGAAAAAAGTAGTACTTATTTTTATGTCTGAAATTGCACCCTATTCCCTATATAGTGCACTACTTTGGACCAGAGTACACATAGTTTATAAAAAGGAAAGATAAATCCTGTGCACAGCAGTGCATCTAGGTCCAGGTGCTGGTTTTGGCAGGAACAACTAGTATTCAAAAGCATGAGTAAAAACGGCACACTGAAAAAAAGACAGGCGAACGTCGTTTTTACTCGTTTTTTTAATATTAGTTGTTTATATGCTCTGCATCATTAGATCATGTGAGAGTGCAATGTGTCCTGTCCTCATTTTCCATCGGTAATTAGTGTGGCATTGTTCAGGAATTAGATGTTCCCTGTTCTGGCTCAGGCCGTTCTTCTGAGAGAACTATGTCAAACACTGCTTTGCTTTCCGTTTTTAGACTGCACACTCATTCATGCAGTATAAAGTTATCACACAAGATAACTCTCCGGTTTCCCTTTCCAATGTTTTTTTGTTCATTTTTTTTTCTTAATCAGATTGGTGATGTGCTGAATAATTTGATACACTCATAATGTATAATTTATTAACTTGGTGATTTTCAAAAGAGTAACAGCAGATAAGCGAGCGTAAACGGGCACTTATGTTCACGTGTCTCTTTTCAAAAGTGTCCTAACTGTTGCGTAAATGCATCAAGCTACTCTACCTGCACTAAACTCAGTAAGGAAGAAGGTATTACCCTTCAATTAATCACAGGAAATGGGAGCCTAGATTGTGATTCAATTCAGTTTCTTGCCAAATTCATGTCTAAAAATGACCATTAACATTTATCATATGAATCCACATTTCTTGAGCTCAGTCACATTAAAGTGATTTAATGATCATGCATATTGATGAAAATGTGTGGTTGGGCACTAAAATGCTGTGAGGTGACAGTGAGGCACTAAAATGCTGTGAGGTGACAGTGAGGCACTAAAATGCTGTGAGGTGACAGTGAGGCACTAAAATGCTGTGAGGTGACAGTGAGGCACTAAAATGTTGTGAGGTGACGGTGAGGTACTAAAATGCTGTGAGGTGACAGTGAGGTACTAAAATACTGTGAGGTGACAGCGAGGCACTAAAATGCTGTGAGGTGACAGTGAGGTACCAAAATACTGTGAGGTGACAGCGAGGCACTAAAATGCTGTGAGGTGACAGCGAGGTACTAAAATGCTGTGAGGTGACAGTGAGGTACTAAAATGCTGTGAGGTGACAGCGAGGCACTAAAATGCTGTGAGGTGACAGTGAGGTACTAAAATACTGTGAGGTGACAGCGAGGCACTAAAATGCTGTGAGGTGACAGTGAGGTACTAAAATGCTGTGAGGTGACAGTGAGGTACTAAAATGCTGTTAGGTGACAGTGAGGTACTAAAATGCTGTGAGGTGACAGTGAGGTACTAAAATGCTGTGAGGTGACAGTGAGGTACTAAAATGCTGTGAGGTGACAGCGAGGTACTAAAATGCTGTGAGGTGACAGTGAGGTACTAAAATGCTGTGAGGTGACAGCGAGGCACTAAAATGCTGTGAGGTGACAGTGAGGTACTAAAATACTGTGAGGTGACAGTGAGGTACTAAAATGCTGTGAGGTGACAGTGAGGTACTAAAATGCTGTGAGGTGACAGTGAGGTACTAAAATGCTGTGAGGTGACAGTGAGGTACTAAAATGCTGTGAGGTGACAGTGAGGTACTAAAATGCTGTGAGGTGACAGCGAGGCACTAAAATGCTGTGAGGTGACAGTGAGGTACTAAAATGCTGTGAGGTGACAGTGAGGTACTAAAATGCTGTGAGGTGACAGTGAGGTACTAAAATGCTGTGAGGTGACAGTGAGGTACTAAAATACTGTGAGGTGACAGTGAGGTACAAACAGACCATCTGTCTTTTTGCTTTTCACCTGTTTGTGCCTACTGAGTCTCTCTGTGTGTCTGTAAAACTCTGATGAAGGCAACAGCTGAAATGCATTGATTTTAATAATAAAGAAGCTATTATGGACTTCCATTGTCCTCAAAGAGTGGCTTACTATGGTTGTACCCTCTCTCTCGCTCTGTGTGTGTGTGTGTGTGTGTGTGTGTGTTTATGCGTTTTGCATGTGTACTCACCCATTAGAGAATACAGTTTATAATCTGAATGTCCCTTTTTCTCAGGTGCAGGCGGCTCTGAAGAGACAGTGGATTCAGTACAAGGCCCAGTGGGGTCAGAGACGGAGGGACCACTGCTCCATGCGCTCTACCTCCTACACTGCCACCTCCATCACCGAGGTGCCCGCCTTCATGTACCACCACGACTGTAACAGCGAACACTTAAACGGCAGACACACCTCTGAAGACTCTGGTGAGCTGGTGGCTCTTAAGACAGGGGAGATGTACGCCTGACAAGCGGGAGGCAGTCTGAGTGTGGGAGGAGAGAAGAGTTGGTAGTGGAATCAAGATGGAGACGTTTCTCTACTATCTAGCATGAAACAAAGTCTCCCAACGGTCCCCGCCTCTGTTCCACATCTCAGAGACAGATCGAGTGGGTAAGCCCCAGACTGTGAAGGAGAAGACAGAGTGTGTCTGGACAGTGATACAGTATCTCTCCCATGACTTGGCCAATGATGGCTGATGCTTCTTTACATGACATTGCTGCTGCTGTGGCTGATTTTTAAAAACACTATAAGATATACATGAAACGGGAACTGAGTTTGAAATGTGGCGCGTCCTAAAGCTGCTATTTGTGGTGCTCTTCCTACACATCATGGGGATGTTGAGGATGATGATGGTGATGATGATGATGATGATGAATTGTTGCTTCGTCTATACCAAAGGGTGTGTGGGTTTGGCTGCCATAGGCATGCTCTGTGTGAACTGAATCCAACACTGAAGCGACCGACAGACAGCACATACTGATGGACAGGGTCCATGACACGTGTCCATGACACGTGAGATCAAAGGTTGAAAAAGGCTCCCTGTGACTAAACTCTGGAATCCTGTACATATTTGTTTCACCAGTTTCACTTTAAAAGTGTCAAAGGGTGTTTTAGAAGATTCTATTTTTTGGACTAAATGTTTTTGTTCTTGCCAACAACTTGTTCTTTAAATACCTGCTATCTGTCCCGTGAAGCTAGCAAGCTCCTCCAGCCTGCTTTGCTGTTAGTACAGCTGCTGATTGTTCTTGTGGTGTTTCTGTCACGAGGACTGGATTTAAAGAGTGCAGAAGATACAGAACGCCTTGATATGGGCTCAAAAGAGAGAGAGTAAAAAGGATTGATAAACTTCAAATAAAAAGACATGAAAAGACATGAAAAGAAAGACACAGAATGACGTAGTAACGTATTTAGAAGGTATTTTGAGTACCACCTGGCTCTTGAGGGGAGACTATTTCAGTGAAATAGTCTGTCTATTGTTTGCCGTGTCCATTTGCCAAAAGGTCTAATGTGAAGCTTGTATGATTCCAGAAGAATCATTATGTTATGTTTAGTGCCATTCCAATATGTTCAAATTATTTATGAAATCGTTTATGAATAGAAATAACAGGGAATGAGGAAAGAGAAGAGTATAAAATACATTAAGGCTACCTGCACAGTGTTGCTATATCATTTTACATTTTAGTCATTTAGCAGACGCTCTTATCCAGAGCGACTTACAGTTAGTGAGTGCATACATTTTTTATACTGCCCCCCCGTGGGAATCGAACCCACAACCCTGATGTTGCAAGGTGCCATGCTCTACCAACTGAGCTACAGGAGGCCTATATCAACAATTATAATTCTCCAAGACAATTATCGACATTGAAAACATGATTAACTCAAAGTAGTATTTTCCTTCCATTTTTACAGAATCTGTTAAATCGTTCTAATTGAGGGCTATTTCAAACGTTCTGTTGACAGCTCTCTTGCGGTGAATACTACAGAATATGTATTTTCATTCACCTACAGATGTAGGATCTTAATTTGACCCAGTTTGCTACAGCAGGAAAAGAATCCTGCAGCAACAAGAAATGTGAATTATTACGTGGATTATAATGAATAGACATTTTTTGTAAGGGTTGATCCTTTTTTCGTAAGGATAAATCAAATCTGAAATGTCATAGTGGAAATTACAAACTTCAGAAGCCCTGTGACAAATACAATTTGATTTGATTTTAAACCCCAGGAAAGTTATCCTGTAACAGGGCGATCAAACTAAGATCCTACATCTGTAATATATCATGCCCTTAGAGTATCATGCTCTTGGATCCTGAATGAAAGTCTTTGAGGCATTTCAGAAGGTGTAATGAGGAATCCTTTGCTCTTAGCTAATCTGGTAACTCAGGCTAATTTCTTGGAGTGTGATTTTGGTTTTGTGTCAAAGGCTGTCCTAAGGAGTCAGGAATAGAAACACAATCTCATATTTACCGTCACTGCATGCATGTGGTCTCCTCAACAAGCACCTTCTGTTTCTTAGACATTTTAATTTTAACCTTAAAATGTGTTCCTTTGTAAGTTGCACAACCAAAATGGATTTCTAGAATGGACACTGAAAACCATTGAAATTGAACGAAATTGCTCAGCACACTGCTTTGTATTGAGTTAAGGGGCAATGTGTGTGTGTGTGTGTGTGCGTGCGTGCGTGTGTGTTTATCAGTGTGTAAAATGCAGATAGTGATCAATGAGCCTTGGGGCCTTCTGATGTCCAGATGAATCCCATCTTCACATTTAATGGTGTTCAAAGATAGACATCTGCTAGGATTTAACTCCAGTGGCTCTCAGAAACTAAGAACAGCTCTGGAGCAGCCCTGATCTGGATATAGTGTAGCAGTATGTTACTGTAGATAGATACAGGTACTTCAGTACCGATGACAGCCAGGGGCCTCATTTATAAAAAGTTTTGTACGCACAGATTTAATCCTAAATTGTGCATACAATGCCATTTATTAACGAGGCCTCACATTTTCTTTTGGGGACAATGAAGTTCATCTTATCTTAGACCCTCCCACACAATTGTGCTAATCTAATTTATTTTACATCTTCAAATTCTATTAGGCCAAGATAAAGTCAATCTTTATACTTACGCCAACGTTAATACTGCATCCAATGTCTTTGCTGTCGTCGGGCAAGCATGGAAGATTTGACACAGTGACAATCAGTTTGAAATGTTATAAGAAGGCCATTTGATGAGGTCCCTAAGAGCTCATTCTGTCTGATACCAGAGAAGGCTTTAACCACTGTGAAGTCTTATAAATGATTTTAAAAAAGGTTTTGATCCATCCATCTTTTGAGGTTTATTTGTTCTGGATATGAACACCATGTTAAGGTTTTTTATTTTTATTTGGAGGAAGATGAATATTTCTGTATATTTAGTATGTTCATGGCGATGTTGTCCTGTGCCCATGTCAACATGACAACAGAGTTTGTGCGTGTAATAGGTGTTCACACTGTGAAATGTTTCAACCGCTGTTTTTGGTTATTTTGTTTTGCTTGTGTTTGGCTCTCGACCTCTAAGCGCTTTGTCTAGCGTTATTTCAAAGAAGACAAAAACAGTGTTTAGTAAAATGCACAACGTGACCAGCTGTTTGTTTGAAAGCTATTTCAATCAGAAATATATTCATAAAATATTCTCTGTTTCTCTTCTTTCTTTCTTTCTTTCTTTCCTTCCTACAATACTATGCAACCTGTAGGACTTAGGAACAACTTTAGAGTGTGTGGGTGTGTGTGTGTGTGTGTGTATGTCTTTTAAATGGAGCAGAAGAAGATTTAAAAGTTTTAAAATACCTCAACATCACAGGTGTACCACTCAGCAGACAACAGACAATCCCCCCCTAAATGGTTTTAGGCATACTTTCAAATCTAGTCGTCTGTATGGAAAAAAATACACATTTCAAGGTTCAGAAGACTGGCATTGTGAGTATGTGATGGAAACGATGTATAGTGAGATTGACTTCAATTATATTCCTGCTCTCTCATTCATCAACCGTCATACAGTAATGCTTCTGACACCCATTATACAACACAAAGGCTGTATCTCCAATGGCACCCTATTCCATATATAGTGCACTACTTTTGACCAGGGCCAATAGGGCTCTGGTCAAAAGTAGTGCACTATGTAGGGAATAGGGTGCCATTTGAGACGCAGAAGTGTGGGCACATCAGATCCCAGTTGACCTCTGAAAAGGAGAGTTCTTCCCATCAGTAGATTCTGGTAAGGGCTGTTATCATCCTAATAGGGCAAGCTTTTGCTTTTCTAAGAGCTTCCGCAACTATGCGGCCTCTATAACACTAAGCACAATTTCAAGGTCCGTTGGTTCTTTATAGCACAGCTATATCATAGTAAGTCAGTAACAATGATGTTGGATTTGTAAAGCAATTCAGATAGCTGTTTTACAATATCATAGACAGGCAAACCCCAACCCATGAAAGGGAATCATTAAATGATAGCATTCAACTTGAAAGTGGAGAGGACGATGAAGCAGTACGCAGAGAGGCTCCTGTTCAAGATGGAGGAGGTTCATCTTCATTTTGCTCTGTCTTTATTATTCATACACAATGGGGGGAAATCATCTAACTTTACTGTTGCAGTAACGTACCGTTGAACCTGTTTATTGAAACCCATTTAATCAGTCATAAGGATTGGCTTGATGCACACCTCACACCACATGTCTTATTGTGGGATTGTAGACTTATAACTGATAAAACTTTACAGCCATGGTGAATTCCCCACCTGATTATTCCAAGGCAGGATAAAAATATAAAATAAAATCTTATTCCCTAAATAGTGCACTACTTTTGACCAGAGTCCTATGGGACCTGGTCAAAGTAGTGCACGATATAGAGAAAAGGGTGCCATTTGGGGTGCAGCCTATTTCCATGTTGGAATTCAGTTCCCTCCCACGCCAAGACGCCAGACCCCACCACGTCTCCTCTCGTTCCCTCCCACGCCGAGACGCCAGACCCAGCCACGTCTCCTCTCGTTCCCTCCCACGCCGAGACGCCAGACCACGCCACGTCTCCTCTCGTTCCCTCCCACGCCGAGACCCCAAACCCCGCCACGTCTCCTCTAGTCTCCCACGCCGAGACACCAGACCCCGCCACATCTCCTCTAGTCTCCCCCATAGAGACGCCAGACCCCGCCACGTCTCCTCTAGTCTCCCACAACGAGACTCCAGACCCAGCCAAGTCTCCTCTCGTTCCCTCCCACGCCGAGACGCCAGACCCTGCCACTTCTCCTCTTGTTCCCTCCCACACAGAAAAGCCAGACCCCTCCACGTCTCCTCTCGTTCCCTCCCATGCCGAGACGCCAGACCCAGCCACATCTCCTTTCGTTCCTTCCCACGGCGAGATGCCAGACCAAGCCACGTCTCCTCTCGTTCCCTCTGACACGGGCTAGTGAACTACAGTCTATACCCCTCTCGTTCC